ATGGCGATTCTCAAGATTTTTCAGTCCTCAAAATTTTCATTTCATGGGTCACTTCAGAAAATGAGAAATGGAAGTAAACCGGTTGAAGTGAAGAGGCCGCTGGTGGTCCACTGGAGGTCCTTGACCTCCACCCTGAGTCAGTCAAGTGCAGACCCACGGGCCCCACCACCAGTTGAGAAGCTCCAAATTAGTATAAGTAGCTGGGAGGCTGCTAAAAGTCTCATGACGATGTGATATTAAGTGACAACAAGGGAATCGATAAAATCCAACTTTTATTTCTGATTAAAAATCTTGGGAGAAGAAAGTGCTCATGAAATACATTTTTAAAACTTGAGAGTAAACCTTAACTGAGACCCATTCATTTTAGGACCGAACAGTGTCCACGGCATGAATTCCTCTTGTGCTTTGGTGACTGGCAGCTGAGGGGGTGCTTACTCTTCAGGAGGCCTGTTCCCCTGCCCAGCAGCTCGGGTACAAGCCTTGTGGGCAGCTTTTCCCAGCCCGGAGGAGACAGTGACAGAAGTGCTGGCCTTCATGCTGGTCACTAGGCAACCGGACAGGCAAGGAGCAGGGAGCGGCCCAGAATGGCCCCGTGGTTTTGTGTGTCTGCCCTGTCGTCCAAGCACGAGTTAGCCCAGGCTGACCACAGCAGTGTCACATGGGGCAGAAGCATGCTTGCTTGGAGGAGGCCAGGCAGAGCACCCAGCTCGGCCTGCCTGTTGATAAACTCTGAGGACCAGCCGCTTTGCCCTGCCTCAGAGCTCAGCTGCGTCTGTGGTCTTTGTGTGGCCCGCTCACCCTAAAGGAGAGACAGAGATCCTGCATCTTAGGTAGTCATCCTGGAGAAGAGTTCAGTTCTTATTAGCCAGGCTCAGACGCCAAGTCTCAGAGCTTACAAAGAGCTCTATTTGCACTCCTTGGAGGTGCAGGTTTGCGCTGGGAGCTGCCTGGGCCTTAACGCTCAATCCCGTTCCTTTTTGGGAAAGTTCTTGACCTCTGGACATGGTGCAGGGGGAGGTCTGCAAGGGGCATCTGGGTTTCTCCAATTCAGGGCTGAGCCATAAAAGGAAATTCTTTTTTTTTTAATCTTTTTTTTTTTTTTTAAGATTTTTATTTATTTATTTGACAGAGAGATAGAGAGAGAGCACAAGTAGACAGAGCGGCAGGCAGAGGGAGAGGGAGAAGCAGGCTCCCCACTGAGCAGGGAGCCGGACGTGGGGCTCGATCCCAGGACCCCGGGATCATGACCTGAGCCGAAGGCAGACACTTAACCGACTGAGCCACCCAGGCGCCCCCATAAAAGGAAATTCTTACTGACTCTAATTGTCCTCAGCCCGGATGAGACAAATGAGGGCTTTTGTGATAGAATCACCCAAATATTAGCCCTCGCGAGGGACAAGACCCACATCAAATGTAATTGATGTTGAAGTTCACTTGATCATAGAATATGGTGATTATGCAAATGTGGGCTATGCTATTAGACCACGTTCCAGGTTTGGAAAATTGCATTCTTCTCTTGCACACTGGATTAGCTTCTGGGTGCTAATTCTTGAACCTCCCAGAGACCCCAGGCTGATTCAGGTTTGCACAGACAAAACAGATGCACTTCCTCCCAGAGTTTGGATTAGGCCCCGGTCTTGGCTTCCAAACCGTGCTCCTCAGAGGTCCTTTGGGGCTGCTGGCTGGTGGCGGCAGTAGGGGGCTGGACCCCGGGGTTTGTCGTCTCCTCTTATTTGTGGAATATATTGGGCTGGTGAGCAAGCTTGTATTTGAGGGGAGGATTCAAGGCTAACACAGTTGTGAAAGCCACTGCCCTAAACCACAGGTTGTTGTCGTGGACGTCTATATATAAGGTTCCCCACAAATCCTTGCTGTGCTCTTTTTTCTGTAGTCACACAATATGAGGTATGTAAGAAAAATGTTAAAAACCTCTTTCCTCCTACTTCTTTCCAGTTCTGCTCTTTGAAGATAACTAGTGTTGACAAGTTGATAGGTATCCTCCCCTGCCTGCCTTTCTCTGTCGGTGCTAATATCCTTGAAAATTTTTTCATTATGAAAAATTTCAAACGTACAGAACAGTACAGACTAGTATAATTTAACCCCGAGTTCCAACAATGATCAAAACTTCAGGGGCGACACACCGTCTTTGGGGTGATCCGTGGTGGACGTTTTGAGGGCAGCTGACCTGCAGCCTGCGCGCCCCGGACCGCCTTCTGTGGAAGCCTGAGCCGGCCGTGTAGCTTTCTCCCTTTGTCTCATAACCATGTCCACCAACGAGAATGCTAATTCACCAGCTGCCCGCCTTAACAGATTCAAGAACAAGGGGAAAGACAGTACAGAAATGAGG